ACTCCCTGAGGGTGGAGAAGGTATCAGCCAAATCTGCCAGATGATCACGACTTCGTTTGCTCTTTACCAGCATATCGTCAATGTAGACCTCCACGGTGTTGCCGATCTACTTTTTGAACATTCGATTCATCAGTCTTTGGTACGTCGCCCCAGCGTTCTTTAGTCCAAAGGGCATCACTTTGTAACAGTAAACTCCTTTCGGAGTGATAAACGCCATTTTTTCCTGATCTGGGGGATGGAGAGGGATCTGGTGATATCCCGCTCGAGCATCCAAGAAGTCCATGCGTTCATATCCGGCAGTGGCATCTACTAGCTGGTCTACCTTTGGTAGGGGATAGTCATCCTTGGGACATGCCTTGTTTAGATCTGTGAAGTCCACGCAGACACGTCATTTTCCCCCCTTCTTCTTTGCGCAAACCGTATTAGATAGCCATTCTGGGAACTGTATCTCCCGAATGGCGTTGGCCTTCAGGAGTTTGTCGATTTCTTCGTTAACCGCACAGGCATGATGCAGGGCCATGCGTCGTGGCTTTTGTTTGACTGGCTTGTGCGTTGGGTCAACATGCAGCTTGTGCGTGATTATCTCGGGGTCTACCCCCGTCATCTCCATTACGTTCCAAGCGAACACGTCCGCATTTCCCCTTAGGAACTCAATCATCTCCTCCTATTTGGCTGTGGGCATTGCAGTTCCAACTAAGAAATATCTTTCTTCTTCTCCCTCCATCAAGGGTACCTTCCGGAGGTCTTCTACCGACCGCTCAATTGGGTCTATCCGGGGGTCATCCATTCCTGGATGCCCGGACTGTGATTGCTATTTTTCTATGATCTCTTCCAATGCTCGTCCCTTTTCTTGGGTGAATGCCCCGGCTCTAACGGCTGAATAGAAACAATTTTTGCGGACGCTTGGTCCCCCCGGATCTCCATGATACCTTCTGGCGTGACAAATTTTAGTTTTTGGTGGTAGGTGGAGTGCACAGCTCCCAACGCATGCAGCCATGTTCGCCCCATGATCACGTTGTAGGGAGAGTCCGTATCAATTACGACGAACTCGGTGTTGATGACGAAGGGACCGGTGACAACTGGCAATGTGATTTTGCCTATGGGCAGGGCGAACGAGCCGTTGAATCCGATGAGAGGTGTTCTGACCTTGGTGAGGTCCTTGAGGCCAAGACCCATCCGTTTTAAAGTCTCGGAGTACATCACTTCCGAGGAACTTCCAGAGTCTATCAACACCCTTTTGACGTCGAATTTTCCTATCTTCAGGGTCAAGACAAGGGCGTCGTTATGAGGAGTCACTACGCCTGTCAAGTCCGCGTCTGAGAACGTGATGCTTGGTTCACCAGTCCTGGCCCTTTTACTGGGTGGCCCTCCATCATCCTCGGCCACCTTCCTTGTAAAAGCTACCCTCTTGAGGTCGGACTCGAGTTCCTTGGACGTGGGGCGATCCAGGGGACATACATGGATGACATCTATGACGTTGTCCGGTTCCTCGGTCGGGGCAATGGTGTGTCTCTCTTCTGGCCTGGGCTCTATGTATTCTTTCAAGTATCCGTCTTGGACCAATTTTTTCAAGAACGATTTGTACATCCTGCAGCTTTCGGTGCGATGTCCGAAATCCCGGTGATAGGAACACCTAACCCTTTGATCACGGGTGGAGGGATCGCTCTGTATCCTAGGCGGCCATTTGAAGAATGGCTCGTGCTTGATCTTATGGAGCAACTTGAAGATGGGTTCTTTGAACATAGTGTGAACTCCTTTGGACGAACCCCCTGGAGGGGGCAGCAACCCCTTTCGGGGAGTATTTTTCCGTTCCCTCTCTTTTCTCTTGGATTGCAGGGTTCGGCCTTTGCTGCTTCCTATCTCGTCTTCGATCCTTGAGTATTTGTTTATCCGGGCCATCAGCTCCCCCATATCCGAGGGAGTCTTCTTGGTCATGGATCGGTACAAGTCCGTGTCCCTCGCCAGGCCGAGCCGGAAAGACGCCGCTGTCATGACTTCCGAGCAGCCTTCTACCTCATTAACCTCTTTCCAGTATCGGATGGCATACTGGCGAAGGGTCTCGGATTCCCTACGTCTGAGGGTCAGCAATGATCCAACGTCTTTGGGGCGCTTACTCCCCGTAATGAATCGTGTCAGGAACTACCTCGTCAATTCCTTCCACGACCCAATACTTTTTGGGGGAAGCGCCTCGAACCACTTCATCGCAGAGTCCCCCAAGCTCATTGGAAACACTCGGTAGGGAAACCGTTGGTCCGAATGATAGAGGGACATCATCTGCTTGTATTGCCTGAGATAGGCTTCGGGATTGAACCGCCCGTCATAAGTTTTGAACCTCGGCACGATGAACTTTCTTGAAACCTCCATCTCTCCTATCTCCCTGGTGAAGGGTGTTTGTATGACCTCGTCTTCGACCTCATCCTGGATAGCCTTACTCTTTCTCTTGGATTCCAGCCGGGCTCTGAGATCAATTTTCTCCCTGACGGGATGTCTTCTGACGTCCTTGAGTTCATCAATGGGCCCCTCATTTCCTGGGCGCCGTGCGGATAGGGAAGAATCCTCCTCGGACTCATCCCTCTCCCTTCGTCTAGACAATCCTCGCCGGAGGTCGTCCAGGGCTAATAGTCTTGCCTTCCTTGAATAGTCGTTAGGAAGGTGCTCGTTGGCTCTCGGTCGCTTTGGAGCCCGGGAGCTCTCCGCCTTGTTGTTTAGATGATTCCTTAGATCCTTCATTTCCGCCTCCCGGGCGGGGAGCCCACGAGAGAGGTATGAGTCCCTCGACCCTTCGCCGGAGGCGACGAATTCGTTGAGCCGGCTTAGGACGTTTACATTGTCCTTTTCCAGCTGTCGTAATCTATCGCCAAACTTTTCTTCGATCACCTCCGCCAGCTGACGAGCCAGGGGGGCTGACCCTCCTCACCTAATTCCCATACTGGTTTGAGGGGTAACCCTTCTGGACTGAGTGGAGGCATTTTTATTCCCGTCAGTGTGATCCTTTCCTCCGTGGTGACAGGGAGCTTGTAGTTCGAGACTTCTTTGGTGGGGACCTTTCCCTTTTTGTCGAGTGTTCACCATGGTCACTGTTCTTTATAGAGAAAAAAAACTAGGAAAACTAGTCATTTCCCACAGACGGCGCCAGATTGTGCGTGCAGGATCTTGCACAATATAAAAAATGAGAACATATCTCTCCCTTGGTGAACTCGAGTGAATCAGTTGAGTGATCAACCACGTTGCTTGGGACAGCCTGCGAGGTCTAGTGGTAACCTGGAACGGTAACGGGAGACCCTCGTGAATTGAAGGAATGATCCAGTAAGGCTGGGAAAAGGTTCCTGGAACAAAGGAGAACAAGTTAGAAGGGCGCCGGAGTGTTTTTCGGCTTATCCCCTCCGACGATCAAGTCAGTTTTTAAAAGGGCGAGGAAGAAGAAAACACTGAGTATATTTCGTAGTAAAGAGTTTTTGTTGCATACCATTTTGCCTTTTATGAGGAGTATTTATACCTCAAAAGCTCATGATTGTTGTCAGTGTTGTCAGTAGATAATCATTAGGTACAGGCAGTGTGTGCACTGATTCTGATGAGGAATATCTTCCTTTCTTTAACTGCTCGGGGTGCCAAGCAATCAATGCTGTGTCATCGGGCTGCCGACTGTCTAATGACCTCCGCTCGGGGAGGATGCAATAAATGCCCAGCCTTAGAGACATTTATTGTCTTTCAATTTCGAGCCTTACCGCATTGAATGCGGTCTCATCAAGGGAATGGTGTAATTAAATGTTTGCTTTCCCAAGTCGCGTGTCAGTAAGGGCATGCGGTCTTTCTGTCTTTGATGTGACACAATTTGCCACGCGTCCATCCCTTATTGGCTGTGGACCCTGCCTTCCTGTTCCTTCTGACACCAATTGTGTAAGATGAAACCATGATAACTAACCTAGACTAGCCTAGGCTAATGACCTGTACATCAATAGCTTATACTGGAATAGAGAAAAAGACATCTTGGACGGGGTACATCTCGGTACCGAGGACATGCACATCTCGGTACTGAGGAAAAGTACATCTCTAGTTGAGGGAAGCCGTACATGATGACCGAGGTACCATATCAGACCGAGGTACCATATCAGACCGAGGGTCGGTTCCTAAAACGTACCTCGACGTGTCAGTACCTCGGGGGCGAGGGAGTTTGTAAGCCGATGGTACGTGATCTCAGTTAACAGGATTTTTAGTAACGCCAAAGTCACGTGTCTTCATCTTGGAGTATTTCAGAAAAGTCTCATCACTAGCGGTACGGTAATGAATTTTTATTTTTTTTTTTGTAATTTACCAACTTAGTTTGCCATTTCAGTTGTCTAATGGAGTTAATTGAAGGATAAATGAGCAGTTGGAGCTAAATGGGTGGATAACCCTAGGATCTCTTCTCTGCCCTAGCCACACTCTACGTGCAATAATAAAAGGGGGAGACCTATTTTTAGGCTCCCACAAGGCCGATCGTTTAATACTAGGAGAGAAAGAAAATAAAATTTCAAGGAAGATCTTGGATCTTGAAAAAAAAAATTTAAGGAAGAAAATAAAAATTCGGATATAATCCTCATTAATGTAACCTTACTATAAGCTATTGCTTCTGGAGGATCTTAGGTCTCTTTCAGAAGTGTGCAATTTTTACAAAATCCATTTCTTTAAGAATTAACTAATATAATTTCAGTTGTTCCGAATTTAATTGAGGTTTTTCCTTTAGGATCTTTTCTTTAAGAATTTCAATTGGCAAATGAAGGAACATGGCAAGTGCCTACGGTACAGGATAAAGAATTCATTTGCACATGTAAAGCATAAGCATAAGAAACTCTTCCCAAGTTGTCTGTTTACGCACACACAAAAACTGTTAAGCTAATGCCAATTTTGTACTCAATAATTTATTTTGAAGGCTACTCGCCCCTAGATTTTTATTTTCGAGCAATGCAGTAGGTTATTATGGAAGAACTTTAATGGTTCCTAAGGTTTCAGGAGTTTTATAGAATGTTCCACAGGCCTTCGAGAATCAGGGATTAAATTTGTGAAGGCTACAAAAAATTTATCGTTGTTTGCTATAAAGTTTGCAAATGGAATCATTAAAATTCCTCTACTGAGAATTGTTGATCATATTGAATGCCTCTTCAGAAATATGGTTGCATACGAGCAATATGAAGGAGAAACCAAGACAACTTGTGTGACTGACTACGTGACTTTTATAGATCGCCTCATCAACTCCCTAAAGGATGTTGAAATACTTGGTGACTCTGGAGTTATTGATAACTGGTTAGGGAATGATAAAACGGTTTCTATCATGTTCAACAAAGTAATCAATCAAGTCATTCAAAATTCTGATACGTTCTGTTATTCGGAAGTTTTTGATGATGTTAACGAGTATTGTGGACATTCTTGGCATACATGGATGGCCAATTTAAACCACAATTATTTCAACAACCCGTGGTCTTGCATTTCGGTCAGTGGTGTTTTTGTGTTACTAGTTCTCACCTTGATACAAATGGCATCCTCTATCTTACAAGTCTAGTGTTATGTCCAATTTGATTTACATGCCCACCCCTCTGTCTGTAATAGAATGCTTAAAGTTGTAACGATCATTCAGTCAACTTGTTGTTTTACAAATGTTGAGTAGAATTCGTGATCAATTTGAATGTTTTTTTCTAAGACATTGTATGAAGCAAAATTCCTGGTTGGTTTCTATGGAGTGGTAGACTAAGAAGATAAAGGGAAAAATTACACCTTGATCCTCTCAACTATGACCCAGGTCTCATTTTGTCCCTAAATTGAGTTTCCAATATTATTTTCTCAACTACATGACTTGGTTTTTCATCATCCCAAAATTAAATGATCGTCAAGTTTTGAACAAAAAATGCTCATGGGTGTAGTACAATATACATTTTCAATGTCTAAAATTTTGGTGATGTAACTGACCAAAAAAACACAGTTGGAGGTGAAATGTACAGAGCGTGATAATTGAAAAGGCAAAGTGAGACCAATCATCTTAATTGATGTGCAATGTAAGAAAATGTGAAAGTTTAAAGTACAATATAAAATAAGGGACATAGTAACGAGGGCAAAAGTATAATATGTGTATAAAGGAGGAGAAAGACTATCGTACCGCTGACCCTATCGTACCAAAAATTACAATACATTAAGATAAAGTTATGACTTTTTTGAAGTGTAAGTTACAATTTTAAAAAGTATCATCAATTATAGAAGAAATTTAAAAATTACACGTTGCCTCATAAATAATAAATTATCTCAACTTACTTTGAATGGTAATGGACAAAAAATGAGATGTCTTTTACTAATCGGAACACATTGCTACTGTTAAAAAAGGGGTAATGTGAGATAGTTAATCTTTGAAAAGAGGAAGTGAAACTTTTAAAATCTTTCAGGGGTAAAAGCCCCAATTTTGAAGCAATATCACGAGGGTTTTACCATAGGTGATAGCTCGAGGCTACCACTTTCCTCAGAATTACACTTCTTAGAGTTAGTCTGCCCTTCTCTTTAGTTTGTGAATTGTTGCAGTAGTTGATGCCTATTGTGTATCTACGACTAAATTAAATACAATCTTTCAAAAATTAAGTCATTTTAAAGTGTTGTGAGGTTCGAACTTCGCCCACCACGTCACATTTTTGTATTTACTCTGTTCAAAAAACAAAGTGACCGGAATGTTTCAATTTGTTTCCCTGAAAAAACATCAAATATTGTAAGTTCACATTAATTGCAATTAAAACCTTGTTTTATGTGAGTTCTTGTTGGAAACAAGAACAAGTTACATGAAAAGATATAAAGAAAAGAGAGAACACAAAGGCTTAAATATTTATTAAGCAGTAAAAGCACAAATTTATACATCAAAGATGTAAACTGAATTGCAGAAAATTAGCTAGATATCAGCTAACAAACAACCTAAGAAATCTGAAGTGTATCAGGAACTTGCTAATTTATTGGTAATGCTTTTGTAAATATATCAGCATTTTGGTCTTCAGTTTTGCAGTAAACCAGCTTCACTTCTCTGTCTTTTTGCACTTCTCTCAGAAAATAGAGTTTAACCTTGAAATGCTTTGTCTTGCCATGGAACAATGGGTTATTAGCAATTGAAATTGCAGTTTGGTTATCCACAAAAATCTTTGTGCCTTGTTCATGCTTCATCTGCAAATCAGCCATAAGTTTCCTGATTCGAAGAGCTTGATTTGCTGTAGCTGTGGCTGCTACATATTCTGCCTCAGCTGTGGACTATGTGATAATTTCCTGCTTCTTAGAACACCATGAAAAAATGCCATAACCAAAAGTAAAACAATAGTCAGAAGTACTCCTCATATCATCAACACATCGAGCCCAATCACTATCAGAATAACCATGGAGACTGAAATCCTTGACTTGACTGAATTTTAAGCCATAATCAACTGTGCCTTTGACATATCTAACAATTCTTTTTGTTGCTTGTAAATGAATTTTGCTAGCATAGTGCATGTATCTTGACAAAAGGCTTACAGTTTGCATGATATCTGACCTGGTTGATGTTAGGTACATCTGGCAGCCTAGTAGGCTTTTGTACAGAGTTTCATCAACCTTTTTAGCTCCATCTTCTCTACATAATATTTCCCTTTGATTCATTGGAGTAGTAGTTGGCTTGCATTCTTCCATGTTGAACTTTTTGAGAATTTCCTTTGCAAATTTCTGCTGGTGCACAAAAATTTCATGTTGTTTTTGCTACACTTGCATACCAAGGAAGAATGACATCTTCCCAAGGCCTGTCATCTCGAACATGTCTTTCATACTTTCTTAAACCAACCAATTAACTTCTCATTGCTTCCTATAACAAGCAGATCATCAACATCTAAAGACACCACAAGTCCTTCAGGTTGTTCAACAAAAATCATTTCCTCTAAGTATCCATTCAGAAAAGCTGACTTGACATCCATTTGGTGTATAATCCAGCCCCTTTGAGCAGCAAGGTCTAGCAGCATTCTTATGGTATCCAATATAGCAACAGGGGCAAATGTTTTTGAGTAATCCACTCAAAACATTTGTGCATATCCTTTGACAACGAGTCTGGCCTTATGCTTGTTTACAGAACCATCCGGATTGAACTTGGTTCTGTAAACCCACTTACTCCAATAGCTTTCTTATATTCAGGTTTGTCCCCCAACTATCATGTCTGATTCTTTTCAATCATTTTAAGCTCCTCCTTCATTGCAGCCACCCATTTCTGATCTGCTGTAGCTTTTTCATATCCAACAAGCTCCATCACAACAACATTGCACCTCTGATAAATATCTGAGAGAGATCCAGTTCCTCTGACTGGTAGATCATCAACATCATCATTCTCCTCCAAAACTTCAAGTTTCTTCTCATTGTTCCAACTCTAGCTATCTGACTCAAAACATTTGACATCTCTGTTGATGATTAGTTTGTTGCTTTGTGGCAAGTAGATCCTGTAGGCCTTTGAAACTGAGCTATAGCCTACAAAGATCCCAAGTTCTGCTTTCTTGTCCAACTTGTCTTTCTTAACCTGTGGAATGTAAGAGAAACACAAGCAACCAAATGTTTTCAGGTTAAACTTCTTTGGTTTGTATCCATGCCATGCTTCAAATGGAGTCTTTTTCTGGACAACTTTTGTTGGTAATCTGTTCAGCAAAAAAACTGCCGTATTTGCAACCTCAGCCCAAAACTTTTTTGGTAGCCCTTTGTCATGCAACAAACACCTTGTCATTTCCATGATAGTTTTTTTTTTCTCTCCACAACCCCATTCTGTTGAGGAGTGTAAGATGTTGTCAGCTGGTGTTCAATGCCTGCTTCTTCATAGAATTTATTAAATCTTTTTGAGGTATACTCAGCTTCATTATCAGACCTGATCACCTGCAACTTGCAACCACTTTGAGTTTCTACCCAAGCTTTGAACACCCAGAAAATGCCAGCAACCTCAAATTTAAACTTCATAAAATAAATCCAGCGCATTCTTGTGTGATCATCAATGAAAGCAATATAGTACTTACTATCATTCAAATATGATGTTTTTTGAGGTACTCCCACATCTGTGTGTACTAACTACAGTTTTTGTGTAGCTCTCTAGGCTTTATTCTCAGGAAAAGGAAGCCTTGTTTGCTTCCCATATTAGCAGGCCGCACATGTTGAAGTTCCTCTTCTAATTCAAGCACACCTTCCACAAGATTATTTTTCTTCATATACAATAAAGCACCATGATGGAAGTGCCCCAGTCTCTTATGCCACAAAACAACATTGGAATCTTCTTTGAGTACAGAAGCTTGCTCCTCTACCATAAAATCCAAAGCAAAGCTTTTATTTTTCATTTTGACCTTAAACATTTCTCTGGCTGCTGCATCTTTAATCATGCAGTACTTGTCTTCAAACAACACCTTAAAGCCTTTATCAAGCAACTGACCAACACTCAACAGATTTTGTTTAATTTCAGGAACATATAAGACATCTGAAATTAATTTCGAACCTGAGTGCCCTTCGATTGCTACTGTCCTTTTTCCTTTGACTTGAATGTAATCTCCATTTCCAATTTTTGACTTTGGAGACAACACCCTTGTCAATTTCTCTGAAAAGCTCTTGATCATAGGCCATGAGATTTGTGCAACCACTGTCTATAAGCCAACTTTTAGTTGAGCTACAGGTGGCTAGGCATGAAGCTGTGAACAATTGCTCCTCCTAAGGTTGATTCTCAGCTTCTTTGGCTTCTCCCAAGTGTTGTTGAGACTTGCATACCTTCTCCATATGCCCCAACTGACCACACTTGTGGCATCTTGCATCTGGCTTCCACCAACATTTGTTTTGTGGATGATTGATTTTCTTGCAGTAGGGACATGGTAGAAAAGTTTGAGAGCTGTTGTTCATCTTGTTGTTCCCTGAATTTTTTGGCTTGTTATAGTCCTGCTTCTTTTTCTTGTTCTTGCCACCTTTATTGCTTTTTGATTTGACTTGAAAAGCGCCCTCCACAGATCTTTCTTGCCTCCTAAGCCTCCTTTGTTCTTGTGCCTGCAGTGCGTTCAACAATTTTGCCAAGGTAATGCTTGACACATCTTTTGAGTTTTCCAAAGATGAAATTGTAGTCTCAAACTTTTCAGGAATTGTGACTATGATCTTTTGAACAATTCTAGAATTAGGAAAATCAGTACCAAGAAGTCTTTGATACCAATTTGTTGGAAACAAGAACAAGTTATATGAAAAGATATAAAGAAAAGAGAGAACACAAAGGCTTAAATATTTATTGAGCAGTAAAAGCACATATTTATACATCAAAAATGTAAACTGAATTGCTGAAAATTAGCTAGAAATCAGCTAACAAACAACCTAAGAAATCTGAAGTGTATCCGGAACTTGCTAATTTATTGGTTATGGATAAGACTAACTTTAACAGCTATTTTGACTCTTTCAAACAACATCAGCAACTTCTAAGTCACATTTTCAACAATTCTTTTGTCATTTTGTTTCACAGTTTTTTGCAATTTATTTTTCTTTGTGGCAGGAGAAGTGAATATGTATTCTGAAAAATCT